CCGAAAGCAATGTGTGCAACCCATCATCTTGGTATTAAATGATCTTGACATGGGGTTGTCGTTTTCAGATTTCAGAAGTAAGAAAAAAATCTATTTAGAGTGGCTGGCAAGTCGTGCGTTCTAAAGGGTAAAGTTTCACATTGTGGTAAACTTTAGACTATATAACTACAGTATATAATTTATATCAGTCTCGGTTTCGGTCAAAATAACTTGAGTTTCTGTATATTTAAATATTTTGACCGGGTTCTGTATAGTTAAATACACCGGCTACAGTTATGTGTAGCTGAACACAACATTCTAGATAAAGGTAAATTTGATCGCTATTTATTGGTGGTTGTTGAAAAAAAAAACGGACAAGGAAGTAGATACTATCGTTGCAGTAAGAGTGTTAGCCTTTATGCATTCTAAGATTGTTACCTAACCATGTAAAGTGCAGTCACTTTCCCCTGCCATTTCTTATGTCCCATCTGTAGTAAAATAAACAAACTGTTTGCCACGACCAGTTTTTGGACAATAACGTAACTTTTTTGAGACAAGGTTTCGTGGTTTCTTTAAATCAATCATGTGCCCTCTCCTCAATGAAGGTTCGCTGTAATGTGTGTTTATTTCTTAGTCATTTCTCACTTGTTCAGTTGCCTACCTCGTAACTGTTTTGTATATTTTAAAAGGGCACAAGACGTCTGATTAATCAACGCAGGGAGTGTTCGGATGATTTACTCCCGTGGAGTCTTTGGGGAAGAGATCATAATGCCTATGTTCAGAATACTGTGACGATAGTCCCAGTCCCTTTCCTGCTGTCAAAATTTTTCTTCTAGGTAGTTTTTTTAATGACCGGTGGTCAAGTATCCCCCCCCCCCATAGACCCAGCTTTAAATACGTACCAGGTACAGCTTTAAGTAAATATTTCCAGTGTGATAACGAACGCACCCACCAATACCAGATAGTCTATAGAAATTAATAAGCTCAATGTTTAGAAAGATAAATATGTGTGGGTGTATGTGAGAGATACAGATAGCGGGAGATCAGACATATTCTGATTAATCCTGTTCTATGGAACATACATACACTAACGGCTTTCGCATCTGGCATAACCTATATTGAAAGCTGATTGAATCTACCTTAGTTTATCACACTACACAACTCATCACTCTGACAGACATCAAAAGCCCTATATTATTCTAGTCGCGCAAACCTACGACCTACATTTAACTGCTAGAACAATGAGTTATCTCAAGGGGAACGTGTCTAAAACTACAGCGTGAAAAAGAGAGGTGGTGGGGTACATAAACAAGGTACTTCTATATTTAGAATGATGCATACACACAGCGGCAGGTGTGTCTGTCGTTGGTGCAACTCTTGTAGCTATCTGGTGTTAGTAACAAACCATGCCGTACTTCACCGGAATGGCGGGAAACCCACAGCCGTGAAAGGAGGCTTCTGGTTGAGTTGTGGGCCACAATGACAGATTGGGAATGTTTAAAATTGCGCGCTACTGTATTACCGTATGTAAGGTTACCTGAATCAGGGCCACGTTTAGGGGAAGACAACGTCAATAGACCATTTACCGCTATGAAATAACACGGGGAGCCTACGTGCGTGTTATATCAATTCGCACACACATATAGGCAGAGATAGAGAGATAAGACAGATCGATAGATAGATGGACAGACAGATAGACTGATATATATAGATGGACAGACAGATAGATAGATGCACTGATTTAATCTGCAAAAACGTTAATTTTTCCCTATTTGAATGCCTAGTGAACAGGCTAGCAGCCATAAAGAAACGATGGGAGGAGGAGGCGGTGCCTTCAGCCTCGTATAATGTATTAAGGGCGAGAGTCTCAAGTTATTCACTGTCATGTGGTGATGAACGACAAATACAACTGAAAATGTATTAAATTATACAAATAAAACGTTTCCCCTTAATTACCATAAGTGCTCTGCCACCAATACAGACAGCTAATAAGAAATTGTCCGCCTGTGTCGCTGCCAACACTCAACTCCGTAGCTACAGCGACATTCCTCCATTTACCCCAGGTCGTTAATTCTGGTACCCATTACCTAAACGCTGGGTGAACCCCCGGGAACCACCCGGTTTCCAACACCAGCCGTGGGTTGCAGCAAGTCGCAGCTGGATTTGAAAGCGAGTCTCCTATCGACTGCGCTGACGCTGCAAATAGTTTTTAATCTAAAGGACCAGCCCCTCTAAAATCACCTGGGGGGGGGGGATAAAGCGATCACGGTGTCTGATGGTTATAACTGCCTAAAACACATTTTAACTGCCTGGGAAGGAGTCACTAAGGAGGGAACTAAAAGGTCTCAGTGCTAATGCACCCCCTGGGCGAGCCCAGATACCCTATTCAACCTCAGGGATGTTAAAACTAGGTTTTCTGTTAACGTCCGCGTCATCTCTGAAGAGCGCTGTTCCAATAAGACAAGAGTGAACTGAAAAAAAAAAAACTAGCAAAAGATTATATATACTTTACATCCTTAAATCTTTTACATATTCCTGGTTATTTATTCAGGCTGATCGTCTGATAGACAAACCGACAAAGGCCAGCAGACTGAAAGGTGGGCAGAGAGACAGATCGATAGAGATAGACCATTTCTACAATTAGCTGTATCTAATGTGAACATTTGCTCATATCCGGTGAAAACAGATTAAGGGACATGACTGGGGCGTTCTAGTTCTGTCAGAAGCACCTCTTTGTTCGAGTCTCGCTACGCCTAATGGCGCACTGCCGCTCTGCGTTGCAGGGTTGTAGGCCATAAAGAAACGTTGGAGAACTAACGGCAGGTGTTGGATGTTGCACGGTGCACACAAAGGGTTTCGTTCAACGGTGTCCATTAGGTGAATCTGTCCACTGCCACTCGTTTTCCACTTGCCGCCGGTGTGCCGTGAAAGCGCAAACAGACGACAGATGAAGTATTGGCAGGTCTGTGGTTGGGACCTGGTTGGGACGCGACTATTCTTAAATTACTATCCGGTTCACTAAACGTATCTTTAGTCGGGTGTACTATCCGGTTCACTAAAACGTATCTTTAGTCGGCTATGTCCATATATGTCCATGGGGTAGCTCTGCTTTTATTAGCATTTTTTGAATGTTCTGTTCTCTATGTATATTGTATGATCACCCTGCTCGCTAATATCCTCTCACAAACCATCTACCTTATCGTATCAGTTTAACTATGTATATAGTTAAGTCTCAGACTTAGTAATAATTTTTCCAGGGAAAGAACGTTTACTGAGAAACAAACACATTTACAGTAAGCTAGAAGCTGTAAGGGACTTTCGTAAGCAAGTAAAACAGTGAGGAGGGACTACTAAAATATCATAAAGAAATGGTGCAGCGAGGATTCACTAGGATATGGCCGACACTTAACACTTAGAAGAGGCGAGAAGGATACAACGTTAAACTACCTAGGATAATTGGAACTGCGCTAGCTGTCGAAGATGGAAATGGGGCGCTTTTGTAAATGTCTCGAGAACTATATTGGTTCTCAACAGACAAAGCGTTTATGTCTACCTAGTTTTATGTTTCTACCAGACAAAATGTCCACCCATCTACTTAAGTCTTCACATATATATATTTAATAGCCTACCTACCTCCAGCTTGTGAGTGTGTTCATCTGTCTCTTTACATACCTGCCATTCTGTTTGCCTACTTATTGAACGAATGTGGGTTTCAAGTCTAAATACCCCCCCCCCCCCTTTCCCCATGCACTTTCTTCTTTGTGTTCTATCGGCTGTAAACTCTTAAGTTATTGTACGCCCACTTGTGGACATTAGTATTGTTCCACCTCCGTTTTTCACAACAGACACGTACATGCAGATTGTTGGCTCCTTGCCTCTTATGCAGATGCGCTTCGAGTGAAAGTGTCTCCCTAAATTAGTCCGATTCTTACGATATGCTGCTTGTAAGGGACAGTGGATCTCTTTTCTCCCTCCCCTCCCACAAAATAGGACACAGGAACCGCACATGGAACTCCTGAAAGGATTCGTGGTTTTCTTTATTTCCTGCACTAAACCTAGATATACTAACTACGCTGGTATACGAAGACAACATTACATTAAAGTACACTCGCCTGTCAAACAACCCCTTAACTCAGCTTTGTATTTATCACAGACAATAATGTTGATAAGTCACTAATAGAAAATTATTAGTCGTAAGTGCCCACAAACTACGATGCAGACTTATATATATATATATATATATATATATATACATATATAGATATATATATATATATATATATATACATATATATATATATATATATCTATATATATATATATATATATATATATATATATATATTCACGTTCTCCACATATGTTAACATGGTCAAACGGAATTTGAAAGGTGGGGCTGAGATGACTAGGTTCTTAATCCGAAGACCCAGGTTCGAATCTCATTTCAGTAGAGCCGTGGATATTTTTAGCGGCAAAATAAAATCCTAACCCATAGGGCTCCGACGACCGCACTAGATCTTAAGTCTTCCCTGTCCATAATATTAATACCATCATTATGTATACTGCTGACGGCTGTGTCTATACCAAAGTGGTATCTGGTCTTGTCTACGTGATCACGTGCAGTCTAAATTGTATTATATCATCGCTGCCAAAATCTAATGAGTCTAATGTAGTCTGGCCGGGCCGCGTGCCCACTTATACTGAAAAAGTATTTTACCCATCCTAATAGAGGACAGCAAAGAATATTTACTGAGCATAATAGTGAAAAAGCCATTAAAAATAATTAAGTGATTTAACCAAATGCTGAGGTAACCTCTTCAGGATATCCAGGAATAAGGTGCTAAACGAAATCCCAGCTAATTAATTAGGAAGCTATACTACAATCACAGATTGCTGCACTAGCATTGTGAAACAACTTCATTCATGTCATTTTATCAATGCGGGCAAAATAAAGAACCTATAAAAGGAATTCATATGTATAATAATGAAACAAATATTTGAGAAATTATGCAATAGTTTACCTTGGCGACCAACGATCTCCGCAACGTGTTCCGAAGACGGCACTCTCACAGTCCTGGAAATGTTGCCTTCCTTTGGGTCGTCAATGTAAGGATTGAGAACAGACTCGAAGTCCTGGAAGTAAACAAGGTTTTCGTTGTTCTCTATTGCAGTCAGCGCGCTGGCACGACTGAAATTGTCCATCAGAGATAAGTTCTCAAGGTTACGTAGATTGATATCAAGTGGTTCCTCGTTGGTAAAGAAACTGTTGCTACTGTTGAAATATCCGATCTCCTGAGACGGATTCATTTCTGAAACAAGTTCAGGCATTGTGGACAGTTAGTTCCCGATTGACATATGAAAAATGTGTAGTTTACAATTTAACCAAACGTGTACTCCTCGGTCTGTGAATCAGAATGAAGCTTTTGGCCCTCGCGAATTTACTTTATAGTTTCCGATATCCCAGGTCCATACGTCTCGTCCGCGCGGTCTAATTCCCCTCAACCAGGCACAAAGGCTTCGCGGCGAGGCGACGACGTCACAGATCCAAGGGGGATATCCCGCAAACCGATTGGGCGAAGGCGGAGTTAACCTTTAACCCACATAAGCACTAGATGAATGTAGACACACAGACACGTGTTTTATATATTCAAAACAAAATATATTATCAATACTAATATCAGTTACATACATCTTAAATATATTTTCAACATACTACCTAACATTGTATTCAACGGTGCGTGTTTATACGATATAGCTAAAGAAGATTTGGTAAGTGAAAATAGCCCGCCATTCCTAATGTCAACAAAAGACGCGGCAGATGGTGGTTGATAATTTCCGACAAAAGTGCTGTACGCGTGCCGCTGGAAACCACGTGGAACTGAAGCGTGGTGTTCTTTGTACTGAATCTTTCCCCCTTGTCACCCTCGGCCTCTTCACAGTTGGGGTCATGAATGTTTTTAATATGCTGTATAAAACTTGATAAAGAAAGCTCACACTTTAAACTTTATATACATAATGTTATAATTTCGGTTATGATTTGATAGCGCACGGTGTTTAAGATTAGTCGATTAAAACTCCCTTCTCCCCCCCCCCAAAAAAAAAAGAAAAAAAAAAGAATTCAAGGTCACCAATAACAATAGACCAGATGGCAAGCTAACCGGGCCATGCACCCGACCCAGTTTATGACATCTGGTACCCCAGGTTGATTGTTGGGTTAAGTTCGACGGAAATTAGAAGTCATTGTCTAGAACTGTACACAAAAGAATGAACTAAAACAAAAGTGTAGTACCCGAATCACTTTTGTTTTACACCCGTCAGGGAATAATCTGACAGATATGCTAGGATCGTGGGTGCTATAGGGAGGATCTGAACCATTTAGACTACCCAACTTCGTTTTTTTAACATTCTTAAATCACACCAAGAGAGGGGAACAGCTTGTATAGATGTTTTCTTCTTCACGTTCACCGGCTGTAAATTCCTGCAGAAGGTTCGTCCACTTAGGGACTTTGGATTTGCTCCAGAACCTAAGTTTTACGGGCACATCCGTTTGACAGATCTGACATACTTGTATGCAGATTTTTCGTTCCTTGCCTCTCAGACAGACGCACTCCGACTTCCTTATTAGTCAACTCTTACAACATGCTTGTTGGGGAGGCAGTGGGTCTATTCGTGTTTCCCCCCACGAGGTCCCGGAACCCACACGGGAAGTGTGTAGATGTGACTACAAACACCACACAGCCTGGACAGAAACAAGCAGCACTAAAGTTGACCCTTACGAAGGTCAGTGCTGCCCTGCAGAGTGCATTGCACTACCGATGAATCGCAGGCGACAGTGAAACCCGCAGTTGAGCTATCCGGTGCGTGCATTTTATTAACTGTCATTTCATACAGCTATTATTACTTCCAACACATTTTGTACTATAGTTTACGAGATACGCTGGATAAACAAAACGGAAACAGGAAGCAAGGTATTATGAGAACTAACCGTTGTCAGAAATTAATTAAGTTACAATTTGCCTATAAAAACAACAGTAAAGAATACGAAGCTAACTGTAACTGTGTGTACAGTAGTAAATAAATGTATTCCGAGTTGACTCGTGCTGAAAGAATTGAAGCCAAGCTAAATGAACATATTAGAGTCATTTTATGTCCAGTTCCCTTGTGTGTTCCCGGGTGTCATTCTATGGGTTGGGGGGTGGGGGGGGGGGGGGGGGACAAGAGAAGACCCATTGCCCCACTAACATGCACGTCGTAAAAGTCTAATTATTGTTGATTCATTCGAAGTCTTTCAAAGTCAGAAGAGCTGAGGAACCAACATCCCGCATGCAAATAAGATCTGTGAAACGAATATGAACTCAAAACTTAGGTTCTGGAACAAGACGAAAGACCAGAAGTGGATGGACAACCCGAACCTTCCACTGGAGTTTGAAACTAACGAACACTAAGAAAAAGACTGAATGAACCTCTTCAGATAGGGTATAGTATGTTAAATAAACTGTAATATACTGGTTGGCACTTAGTTATATAGCTGGTCGATGCACAGACGAAAGGACACTAACCAGCACGAGAATCAAAAAAGACCACCCGAGGATTAAACCTGTTGCCTTTAGACGACTGGTAACAATAGCTTTCAGCGGTTTATTTATCGCTTTTTAGGGTGGTATATCGCGTCTGTAGCTGAGGCGTTAACTTCGTAATTTCGAAGTACCTTCTAAGCTCTCGGCTGGGGAGCGATGTGGCAGCAAACCTCCTTGCACTTGAGAAGCAAAGGCAAACTTACCAACCAGCATGTTCCTTACAGAACGTCGCTCTCTTCACGGCACGCTTAAAAGTCAGCCTTTCTCAAGCATAATCTCCAGCCCTATGTTCTTTCATAGCCAATGCATCCTCTGTCCGCGGAGGTCGGCCTCTGGATCCTTTAATAGCAAACTACCGAACTTTTAAAAAAAAACCACTTGTATCAAAGAAAACCATGAAAGAGCTGGTGAAAAGACCTTAACAGACTTATGATCAATGGCACGAGGAGCAACGACGACTAAAAGCGCATCAAGCGACGATTATCTAACAAAAGTTTGAAGAATACACCAGGTCCAGAAGAAAATTTTCAAAGCAAGCAACAGAATGATGGCGTGGAACATCTCGTATGGCGATGTGGACGAAGACGACATACGGACAAAGTTGACGAAGTCTGGTCAAGATCGAAGTAGAGACTGACAACCTAACAGTGGAACGACAACATTAACAGTTACTAAAACAAGACGATGAACTAGTACAGCAATATCACCACGAATAGCTCAGAAGACAGCCCAGTAAATGTCAGTAACAACAATAACGAATGGTAAAATAAGGAACACATGACAATCAAATCCAATCCTGCACAATGAGAAGGGCACGACCTTGCCAGCCAGATAGACACGGAAGAGATAAAGCATCAAACACTGCGCAATCAAACAGCAACACAATTTGGTGCCATAATTATAACCGATATTGACAAAGGTTAAACGTGGCTAATTTGAAGTAACGAACGAGTTATATAAAGTATGACTAGAGCCTAAGATTATGTCACACGAAGCAAGTCAGTGACCACGAACTGCCCCGAACATCCCCTGTTAGTGGAGTATACCTTATACAAGACTCCCAGTCTGTCACCATCTCCGTTGTATCCTGTACAACTCTGTCCATGTCACGAATGGAACCCAGTCCAGCGTCTCTGACTGCTAAAAATGACAAGTACTTTGTCCCCCCCCCCCCCCCCCTCCTTTCTCTTCCCTATCATTTTTAAGACTTTCTCCCAACAACGAGCATTTTATGTTTCTTATCCTTTTTTTCTGAATCCATTTAGTTTCTCATTTTAGCGATTGGTTGGTGATCGTCTGTCCGCTCTTCGTCAAGCTTTGCCATGTACACTAATTACGACCTTCTTTGTCGTGTGACTGACGTTACAGTTGTCCTCGCTTCAGTGTCCTCACCTGTCAGGAACTGAAACCATTTAATGTTCGCTTTCCTCAGTTATTTGTTTTTGAATGCATTTAACTCGCATTCTATGTATCTGGCCGTTCTCTAGCGCTACAAACGTTAGGTTAGTTTCGTGTCCTTAATTTTACCCAAAACTCGAACCCAAGCACCCTGAATAAAAGCCCGGCATTCTGATATGACTGTCCACACTGTTACAGTAGTTCGGTTCAGGTTCCCCAACAACAACTAAATCTGCCACAATAGGCTATTATACCTCCTTTAAGAGGGCAATAACAGTATGCTGAATGACAAACAATAACTTTAGAATAGGAAGTGCACAAAAAATACTTTAAAATACAAAAATAGCAGTGAGCAGCTTATCACACATCTTTTTAAAAAAAGGGAGGGGGGGGGGGCAGGGGGCATTCACGGGGTCCAGAATGAAGGCTGAAGTCGAAAGAATGGAATTCACTGCTCCGATTTTATCCCATATAGCTCGGTTTCACTTTGCACGACTATCAGCCGGCGTCACACAAAGCAAGAGCACCGTAGCTCTGGTGACGATTACACCGTAAACAAAAAAAATGCAATCCTGAATCCAACGACGCAGCCGTGAAACGAACCTAGGACATTCAGAGCGCGAGGCAAACAGTTTGAACACTTCGCCACGGACCCAGGGCCCATGCTGTCAGGTTTTGATCAAATTCATCTCTTGAGATTTAACCAGATATGACTCTCCCTCGAAATGTGCTTATCTGCTGCGGAAGTACCCCGTTTTTTCCCCCCTTCTAAACTGGACTGGGAAAGGAGATTTGACGACAGATACACAAAACAGAAAGTGAAGACAAAAAAGTCCTTGACATCCGGTCCTAGCAGGAAGATGACCTGTTCATATCATGGACCCAGCTGTCAGGGATCGGATAGTCGTCCCCCACCACATCCTCCAGACAAAAGACAGACTAGAACAAAGATCCCACCTGTTCAACACACATCGGAACTACCGGTGAAAACACCTGTGGTCGGGACTTGACACAGCCACCGGCCAACATCTGCTCGCGCCACTGACCGGCCATGAGAATCTGCGCATCATCTTTCTCTCTCCTTTCTACTTCCTGAAGAGGCGAATTGGAGTTTGCGCTGTTCCCGTGTCCAAATTTTACCAGCCATTATGGACCACAAATAATTGTCCACGTGGGACATATACCTGCTATCAGATCTAACTTATACTCTCAGGAGTTGTACTTTTCTAAGCTCATTGTATAACGTTACTTAAACAATTACTTCATACACTGCCTAATGAGGCGTCTGACGGGGTTGCTTGCCTGCATCCGACCCCGAGTGTTGCCTTTTAAGGCAAATAAGTGCGGTGGAGT